TGCTTTAAATGGATACAATTTATTGCATGCAAATTATATCTCATTCCAAATACTTAAAAAAAAAAGTAAAGTAAGAAAAAGAAAAGGTGAAGAGGATCGAGCCAGAGGTCTGGGCTGCTGCATCATGACCTTGGTCATGTGGACTTGGGCCTCAGTTTCCCCATCTGTGAAACAAGGGCTTTGGACAAGGAGGCCTAGATTCATCTCCTAGATTCATCACCTAGATTCATCTTGGTGAGCCTCTGTGTGCCTCAGTTTCCTCATCTGTAAAATGGGGGAACAGTAGGAGCTACCAGCAGGTGGAGCAGTGTTTGCCACACTGGAAGCAGCAGTGATTGCTACTGTCCTAGCCCTGCGTCCACCTGGCTGCTGTCATCTGGGCTGCCTCACTCCTCTGTCTTGTTCTCTTGCCAACCCTGACTCCACACAGCCCCAGGGTCACCTGCAGTGAGAAATATTCCAGGGTTCCCGTGTCATTCTCAATGTGGGTCACAAGTCCTTCAGGGGCAGCTCTATTCTTCCATGTTTTGTATCCACTGTAGTGCCAAGCCCAGAGCTAGGAATTCAGGTGGTGTATAATTGATGCGTGCAGAATGAAGAAGAGAGTCGATGGTTCTAAGTCAGGGAGATGTTTTGTTGGATTGTCTTCAGAAGTGGCTTTCTTGGGATGGAGAGCAGGTGCAACTTTAGGGCCACCATGGCCACGTATGGTTGGGCAGGTTGTGTACTGTGGAAGGAAGCTCCGCCCTGGGGGAGGGGCGCGGATGACGGGTAAAACCCTGCACACGCACTGCTTTCCAGGTCAGGTGGCCACACCCGCTGGCTGTGTTCCCAGAGAGGTCCATTGTTCTTGTTTTTTTTTTCCCCTCTTTTTACAAAATAAACATTTTATTCTGGATTAATTTTAGATTCACGGGAAAGTTGCAAAGATAGAGAGTTCACATAAATCCTTCACCCAGTTTCCCCTGATGTTAGTATTATTATGTAACCACAGTACATTTGTCAAAACTTAGGAATTAATATTGGTACAGTACTGTTAACTAAATTTTAGACAATTTGGGTTTTACTCCTTTTCCAGTAGTATTCTTCCTCTGTTCCAGGATCTAGTCCAGGATACCACATTGCATTTAGTACATCTTTTTTCTTCTTTTTTTCTTTTTTTTCAGATTAACAGAGGTTGCCCTGTGGGCTAGCAGTGGGTGGGAAAAGAATGTGGATATAGGTGAGTATCCAGAATTAAGTCCTTGGGTGGCCTATGAGGGAGGGAGCCCCAGGGTGGTCAGGGGGACATCTGGCTTCCCTGACCCAGGCTGACAGCCATGAAGTGCTTTCTACCACCTCAGCTGAGCCTATGCAAAGCACAGAGGAAAGACATCGAATTGTTGACAGGTTTTAACAGTTGACTTGCCAAGTCTTGAAGCGGGCCCTTGGGGAAGTTGTATGTCCCTTTCTACAAAAGCCATTTTTGTGATCCCTGTAGCTTGTGTGGACTGCTCTGGAAAGGTTCAGCTTCTGGGTGCTTGGTTGGAATCCTGGGCTCTGCCAACCAGCAGCGCCCCCACACCTGCACCCTCCTGTGGGTTTCCTGGCTTGTCCTGAGTGACGAGTCCAGGGTGGGTGGCCCGTGGCTCTGTCCCACCCCATCCCCGCATCTTCTGCCTGGAGCTGGAAAGGAGCTGGGGGGCAGGGAGCGGTGGCAATGAACTTGGAGCCAGCTGGAGAGATCCTGTGTTTCCCTGAGTCTACCCAGGGAGTCCTCGGGGCTAAGGAGGAGCACTCTCCACTCAAGCTACAGAACTCAGACTTTGTCCCCCAGAATGGCAGCTGTGGTACCAGAAGAGCTTGGAGTCACCTGGCCCTGGGAGTGATTTCAGGCTGGGTGGTCCTAGTGAGGCGACCAACTTCTCAGACCCTGTTTCTGTACCAGTGACATGCACTATGGATCCTAGCTCCAGGGTGCCTGGTCCCACAGGGCTGCCTCAGGGACAGGCATTCTTTGCGGGGGGCACTGCCTGCCACTTCCCTTCAGCTCGACTTCTCCATCAGCTGAGCCCCACCCTCCTTCCTGCCTCATAACTCCCCCCCATTTCCCACTCTTCACACAGGGACTCCCATAAGGCCCTTGCCTGGGGGGGCCTCTGGGTCTTTGCTCATGCAGTCCCCCCACCTGGACTGCCCTCTTTCGGACACCAAGTTTCCAGTGTCAGCTTGGATGCCACCTTGCAAGCTCCCAGCTTTCCCTCTTGGTTCTCTGAGGTCCCCTCTCTGTTGACCCTCATGGCCCCAAGCACTTCCTGCCTTGTTTTACAGACACCGGTGATGAGGTTGTACCTTCCCTTCTATGAAGAATGTGAACTCCAGGGACGGGCTGCGTCTCCTGCATCCTGGAATCACCAGTGCCAGTACTGTGCATGGCACACAGTAGGCACTCATTAAATGTGTGTACTTAGGCTTGAAGTGAAATGAATTCTTGGAAGTCTCAAATTCTTGGAGAACAACCTCTGGCCCGGCCCCCATGGGCAGGAAGACGTTCCCCAGGTCTCCTGCTGGAAACCCAGTGCAGGGTGCCCGGGGTGGCCAGGGCCCAGCCCCGCACCTGAGCCCCCTGCTGCTCTGCCAGACCGCATGCTCCGCCTTCTGCAAACGGCCGTGGGGGCAGCAGCTTGGGTAAGTTCCCCTTCCGCTTCCTCCTGCCTTCCGTCCCCGCTGCTGCTCCCCGGCAACCTCCCCACACCCCTGCTGCCCGCAGACTCACTCCCAGCCCTGAGCTGCCACCGCCACCACCCCCCAGGCCCCGGACACGATGCAGGCCATCAAGTGTGTGGTGGTGGGAGACGGGTAGGTACCTGGCTGAACTTCCTCACAGTCCCCCACGGGGGTACCCCAAGACCCTCCTGCCCTGCTGTCCTTGGGGAAGCCCCCTGCCCTGCAGATGTAAGAGTCCCTGGGAGGTGGCTGGGAGTAGTCGCTTCCTACTTCTCCCAGGGCCAGAGGGAGCACCCCGGGATGGATGAGGACAGCTTCACTCTCCTCAGCCCACCCCACCCCGGAAGCTGCCTGGGCAAAGGGTACAGGAGTGAGTGTGGGGGTGCCTGAGGCTCTGCACCTGCACCCCGAGAGCTGGGGGCAGGTCTCCCATGGAGGCGAGCCTCAGTCTTCAACTCTGTGGATGCAGGTGGGAGATGGGGAACCAAAAATTGGGCCTTTGTTCCCAGGCTGACCTGGGCTCTAGTCATTGGCTTGGTGCTGCTATGTGGCCTTGGGCAAGTCACAGCACCTCTCTGAACCTTAGCTCGGCCATCTGGGAAGAGGCCTATGCCCCCCGGGTTGCTGTGGGGTCACTTGAGATCTGTTGAGTGGCTGTCTTGCTTGCAGTGTGTGCTCAGTGAATGCTGGCCTCCTGAGCCCTCTCCCCATCCTCTCCCCTCCACCTCAGCCTGCTGGGTTGGGGAGGATGTGCGGGGGATGTAAGGGCAGAAGGTTTTGATGGGGGGGTGATTGTGGGAGATCAGTGGGGAAAGGGGGCAGGCTGGGCTGAGGGTCCTTCTCAGTTGTCAGATCTCAGGCTGTCCTGTCCCCTGTGGGCCTCAGTTTCCTCATCTGTAAAATGACAGGTCCCGATGTCAATCTCTCACGCCCACTAGGAACAATGTCCTAGGGTCCAGCCCAAAGGTGCATCCTGGGGTGTTCCGTGAGTCCCTCCCTCCCAGGGTCTTCTAGCTGGACAGAGCCTCTTGTCAGCTCTCCCATTCTACAGAGGGGCAGCCTGAGGCCTGAGAGACATGGGTCTTTCCTGGCCTGGGTCCCAGTGGCCTTGACTTTGGCTCTGACCAGTGTTGGTGGGGGCGGGTGGTTTATCAGGCAGCCCTCAGCTGGTTCTGATGCATGGGCCGACCGTTATCTGGCCCTGCTCACTTCTGCTTTGTATCTGATCTGACAAGGGGAGGGCGGAAGTCAAGGGTAATGTTCCAGTTATTCAAAATTACCTTGGTGGCAGGCTCTGGGGAGGGTGGTGATGGAGAACAGAGGGCCAGCAGCCTCCTCGGAACAGGAAGTGACAACACCAAGTGGAGCTGGGGAAGGCCCCGAGCTGCCCCTCGGCCTCTTGACTTCCTGCTGAGCTACCTGCACTCCCTCCCTATCCAGCAGGCCTGGAGACTGCACAAATAATGGTGACCGCCATTTATTTATCACCTACTGTGTGCTGGGCACTGGGCTTGGTCATGCCCCCTCTATTTTATCCTCCCACCAACCCTAATATCAGGTCCATTTCACAGGTGGGAAAACGGAAGAGCAGAGAAGTTAAGTAATTTGCCCAAGACCTCACAGCATTGAACCCGGGTCTCTCTGACTCCCTAACCCTGTGTTTTTAATTGCTTTGCTCTCTGGCAAGGTGGGAGGGAAAGAGGGGACAGGCTTTCCCTGTTACTGGCTGCCACAATACGCAGGCACTGTGCTAACTGCTTTTATGGGAATCATCTAATTTACTTCTCAGCACACTGCTATGAGGATGGATTCATCCCAATTTTCTAGACAGGGAAACCGAGGCAGAGGGAGGTTAAGTGACTTGCCCAAGATAGTGCCCCTGGAAGATGGTGGAGCTGGGATTTGAAGCCCAGCAGTGTGATGACAGGGCCTGGGGCCTGACCACAGCACTGTCCAGGTCTACTGAGTACCCTCTGCCCTTAACCCTCTGCCCCACATCGTGGGCACCTGGGTCATCTTGTTAAAAATACAGATTCCCAAGTCTGCCCACATCCATGGATCAGAATCTTTGGAGTAGGACCTTGAAGTCTGAACTTTAACAAACACTCCAGATGACTCTTACAGGTTCTCAGGCTCGAGAACCCTGACATGGGTAGTCTCAGGGAGGGAAAGGCCCAGAGGGGCGGCCTGCGTAGACATTGAGGTCTCCCAGAGGACCAGGAGGCACTTGGAAACCTCCCCATGTTT